GTGGCCAAAGCCCAGGAGTTAGGGCAATATAGTCTCTAAGCCACAAAGGAAGGGAGACCCAGGCTGTAGACCCTTCTCTTCCAAAAAATGAAGATAAATAATACGATAAATTCTGTTTCCATAGTGTTCATATTTTGCATAGGAAAACCCCAAAGCCTTCCTGGGGGCAGGTGACTGGCTCAAGGTCACAGGGCTGGGAGCTGGCTGAGTCGGTCTTGGGCCAGTGCCACCTTGGAAAGGATGCTATAGGGAAGCCGCTTGCTACTCTGTAGTGTTGGCGGTCCAAAAAGCCACAGGAGGCTTTTGCAGGCAGCCAAGTCGGATGTCAGTCAGGGAAAGCTCAGGGCCAGCTAGGCCCTGCAGACAGGCCTGGTGGCTCCAGGCAGTGTGTCAGGACAAGGCCCCCAGTATGGGATCTGGCATGTTGCCTGCTGGGGTGTTGATGGCTAGGGGAGTCTTTGAGAGGCTTTCAGCTCCTGGAAGACAACATAGGGCCTGCTGGAACACCCCTCACATGGCCTCTGGTTATCTAGGAACATTCTAGCACCGGGGCTAGCAGAAGCCTTTGACCCAGGACCAGTGCTAACCTTGTGGAAAGTTGCAACCCCCTGGAATTGTCTTCAATTGGGCTCTGCTTTGAGGCTGGAGAAGGGCCCAGAGGTCTAGTTTCCTACCTGCCTGGGTCATACGTCTACATGGGTCACCAGGTGTCAGTAACTGGAAGAAAAAGACAGATTGAGTCTGGGTTCTTAGAACATGATAGTCACTGGACCAGAAGTGCCAGTTATCACAGGACAGTGGAGAGACTAGGCAGCTCCATCCATACTTGGCATTCAGGGCTGGGGGTGGGGTTCACAGCCTGTTGTAAAGAGTCCTCCAGATGTTTCACAGGCCTACTAAGTGAGGACTGATTTAAACATGTATGTCTTCCTGTGTGCCCTGGAGTGAGGACTGGGGATGAGGGTTAGGATCAGGCCTAAGCTTTGCAACAGATACATAATGAGCAGAATATCAGGCTGTGGGGAACCTCAGATGTCATCTGTCACCTGCATTCTCCACATTGGTACTAATGAGCTGAATGTCAGATAGATAAGGAATGAGCATAAAATGACACAGCAGGTTCAAGCCAGGGCACAGGTCTGTCTGTCTGTCTGTCTGTCTGTCACACACACACACACACACACACACACACACACACTGCTGAGGATGGACATAGGACCTTGCTCATACTAGGCAAGCACTCTACCTATGAGCCATATCCCTAGGTATTCAATTAATTAGTCATATTGGTATGTGTATATGTTTTTGTATGTATGCATGTGTGTATGTACAAGTGTGTACAAGTATCCTAGGAGGCCAGAAGAGGGTTTCAGATCTTCTGAAGCCAGAGTCACAGTTGGTTATAAGCCTTCTAATGTGGGTGTTGGGAAATGAACTCCAGTAGCTCAGGTCAGTCTCCAACTCACGTTTTTCCTGCTTCATTCTCTCTGGTGCTGGGATTACATGTGTGTTCCTCTATGCCCTAATAAGACTAGGTTCTTACGGTTATAGTTGGCAAAAATCAGTTTAAATTAACTTTAGAGATAAATAGAACATTGACAGGTACATTTACCTGAAGAAGGCAGATTAGGAATCCTCCAGGTGTGGCTATATTCAGATACTGAGATGTTATTAGTCTGCTTTATTTCTGGGTTCTGTGTTCCTCAGTGCCTACTCCATTCTCCCTGAGGGACCTTAGCTGCCCTAGTGAAAGCTCATCTCCATAAGCCATCTCAACTTAGAAGAAGCCTCCCCCTCCTCCTCTCCTCCTCCTCCTCTTCCTTTTCCTCCTCCTCCTCCTCTTCCTTTTCCTCCTCTTCCTCCTTCTTCTAATAATTATTATTAGTTAATAATTATATTATTATTTTAGGATTATGTGTGTGTGGGGGCCGTGCACATGGATTGACATGCATATGGATATCATAGGAAAACTGTGAAGTCTGTTCTCGCCTATCGCCTTTGTATGGGTTCTGGGGATGAAACTCAGGTTGCAGGCTTATATGTCAAGTGTCTTTAACCCACCACGCCATCTTGCCAGCTCCCCAACCCCCAGTGCTTTTAACAAGAGTTCTGGCTGTCATTCGAGTTGTCCAGGGACAGTCAAGTCCACGGGTGAGCAACTCTGATTGGCCAGGTCTAGTTCACATGTTTCTCCAGAAGCAGGAGGTGAGATCAGTTTCCTGATAGGATGGGATCAATGGATGTGCCTCACCAGGTCAAATCAGTTCAGACTGTTCTACATTGGGTATAAATGCCAGCAAGCCACACAGACCCACTGATAGAGAGGACTGCTCTTATCTGTCTGAAGTGAAGCTGGCCTCTTACCAGTCAGGATTTATCCAGACAGAATGCCATTGCTTGAGGTTCCTTGAACAATGTGCTGAGAATTGTGCTTTAAACACACCGTCTCCGCCTTCCTCTTTATCTTCCTTCCTTTGGCATGGCCCAGGAGAGTCAGGTACTCGTTACCATGTTTCATCTCTGTGCCCCACCCATTGCAGATATTACTGACTCACCTCGGCTTCTGAAGGGTAATGTCCACCAAGGAAGTGGAGGAAGCCCCAGCGACTTCCCACTCATGTTTCAGTCTTACTTTAGGGTTCTGGGTTCCTTGAGAACATGGGACCTTAGCTTCTTGAGGTGTGGTCTTTTCTCGAACACTGCCTGGTACACAGTGGGTGCTTAAGAAATTGTTGACTGTTCCTACCATATGGTACCTTGGACTCAGTGCCTGAGCTCAGTGTGTAGCAGAGAGCGGGCTGAGGAGGGAGGCTGGTAATGTCTGAGGAGGGAGGCTGGTAATGTCTGAGGAGGGAGGCTGGTAATGTACTGAGAGAGCAGCAGTAACTTTGCTCAGATTGTGGAAGAAGCTAGAATTGCTGCCAGAGAGGAGAAGTAGAGTTTAAGGGAGGTGGGGAGGGTAGGTGCCCCTGCCTACCTACCCTCCTCATCCCTGTACATCATCATTAATTCCAGTTTAAGTGTCCTTGAAATCTTAGATCTCCATTGATAAGAATGCTTTCCTTGATTCTACATATTTTTATAATCCAGGAAGGCTGAAAGGCCTTCCTGTGTCTGGGCCAGCAGCACTGCGGGTGGCCTGAGAAGCCAGGCCCAGAGCTCTGCCCCCGCTTGTCTGTTTCCCAAATCCAGTTCTAAAGAACAGAGATTCCCTCTGTGTGTGTGTGTGTGTGTGTGTGTGTGTGTGTGTGTGTGTAAGTGTCTGGGGTGCAGCCCTGTTGTGGTGTGCCCATTGAGCATGCACAAGGCTCTGGGGGTCTACCCTGAACACTCTGTGTAATACGAACAAGTAAATCAAAATTCACGAGATGGCTTCTGGGACATCCCCAGGGAAGAGCTGCTGTGTAGCAGAGTCCAGCAGGTTTCCTGGGCACGATGGTTCTCAGTAAGTTTAGTGTGGTAATTGGTGGACTGTGCCTTTTTTAAGAATCTTGGGGCTGCATGTGCAGTCACCAAAGGTAGATGCTGATGTGGAAGACAGGAAGTGCATGCTGATAAGAGCCTGATATGGATGTCTCCTCAGAGGTCTTCAAGAGTCTGACATATTCAGAGGCAGATGCTCACAACTAGCCATTGAAGTGATCATGGGGTTCTCAATGGAGGAGTTAGAGTGAAGACTGAAGGAGCTGAAAGGATTTGTGGCCCCATGAGGAGAGCAACAATACCAACCAACCACAGCTCCCAGGGTCTAAACCACCAGCCTGGGAGCACTTATGGAGGGATCCAGGGCCTTAGCTGAATATATAAGAGTGGAGGGCCCTGCTGGGCACAGGTGGAAGATGAGATCCTTGACCTCATGAAGGCTGGACGCCCCAGGGGGTGGGAGTTTTGAGGGTGGGGAGGTGGGAGTGGGGGGGGTAGATAGAGGTTACATCCACAAAGAAGAAGGAGGAGGTGTGAGGGGATTGGGGGTTCCTGGGTGGGTGGGGGATGGGGTAAGGGGACAACATATGAAATGTAAATAAAACATCCAATAAAAAAATTAAAAAAAAAAAAAAAAAAAAAAGAATCTTGGGGCTGGACAGTTGTGGTTTCTCAGCCAGCAAAGGAACTTGCTGCCTCCTAAACTCGATGACCCAAATTGAGTCCCCAGGAGCCTCCTGCAAGTCGTCCCTTGATCTCCACTTGCCCCCGCCCCCCACCTGCCACACACAGAAATGTAATAGTAATGATGATGACAGTAATAAAGAGAATCTTGGAGCCTCTTCACCCCTCTGTCTAGCCTTACACTGTCCGTATGGGATAGCCAGTGACAGATCTGGGACCTGGGGCAGATTACAGAGCTAGTAGGGGCTTTCTGGTAGTGTAGACTTTCTGGTCTGGTTTAGTGAGTGGCTTACCTGTGGGCACCAGCAAAAAGAACCTATTTTAATATATTAAAAATGTGTGTGTGTCTGTGATATGTGTATATGTATCTGAAGCATACCCAGCATAAATGTAGAGGTCAAAGGACAAGTTGCAAAGAGTCAGTTCTCTTCTTCCACTGTGTGGGTCTGGGAAATCAAACTCAGGTTCTCAGGCTTGGCAGCAAGCACCTTTACCTGATGAGCCATCTCCCTGGCCCCAAAGGGACCTTTATTGTACATCAAACCCACCATGGCTTTCAGAAGCCCCACACAGTGTACAAAGACAGTTGTTGAGTGACTCACTGTCTAGGTTCAAGAGCAATGAAGTCCGAGAAAGGATTCAGAGTGAGTTAGAGGGAGAGCAGGAGGGGTGGGGGAGAAGGTATGCTTGTGTCTGGCTGACCACATATGTGAGAGTGCAAATCTGTGTGTGTATGCATGGTTGAGATTCAGCATCCTTCATCCCTGCTCCAAGTCTAACAGGCTCAAGGAGGCCCCTCTCTAGCATGTGTGTTGAGGGACACCCATGGTCAGACCTGGTCACCCTCGGCATGCAGGCCCTGACCACACCTCTTTGCTTCCTGTTTGCAACAGGTGCAGAGCCAGTGCCACAGCCTCTTCAGAGGAGCCTCTCAAGCGTAAGTAATTTTTCAGCTTCCTTATAGGCTCAGGCTCAGCCTCACCACCGCCACCCACAGCAGGATCCCATGGGGGAGGAGTCTCCAATTTAGTGTGTCCTCCGGGCTCTAGAAGAGAAGATTCCTGAGATGGTCTTATTCTTGGCACCTCTGGGTGGAAGGTCACTTGGTCTGCCTGTATCCATGCTGTGGCAAGGAGTAGCCGAGGTAGATATCCTTGGGGGGAGGAGGGAGCAGGAGCTTGGATGTGGTGATTCTGAGCCCCACCTTCAAGGAGTCCCTGGCTTTAAAGATAGGATGCTCCAGCTTTTGATCTCAAGCCTCTCTAATCTCTTCCGTGTGTGTGTGTGTGTGTGTGTGTGTGTGTGTGTGTGTGTGTGCATGCGCGCACATCTGTGTGTGTACATGCATACACTGCTGGGGATGGAAAAGTGCTAATTCTGAGCTCTACCACGAGCTACAGCCCCAGCTTCACTGAAGGTTCTATTTGAACAGAACTGAAAATGTCCAGTAAAGTTGTGAGTGAATCTCAGTGAGTTTCCGATGCCCTTCACTCTGATGGTCCTGGGGTTGATTCTGGCCAGTGTGTCTCATCCCTGTCCACTGCTGTAAAGGACCACATGAATAGTATTTTTGCTGAATCACTGGGGAGTAAGTCACAAGTGGGGTGCCCCTTCCCCTAGTCCTTCATGTATTTCCTAAGAGCAAGGCCATTGTCTTATGTAACCACAGCCCAGTTATCAGCCCAGGACATTTAACATTGACATAGTTCTCATATCTAATCGGCTGATTGTCTTGGTACTACACCTTGCTTTCTCTTCTCTTTAATGTTTCTCCCTCTTCTTCTAGTTCAGAATCCTAATAGTGCCCGCAAGGAGGGTTTGTTTTCAGGCTGGTTTAGCTGATTTTAAACTTGGGATTCAAAGTCCTTTAATCTTGTCATCTACTAAGGAATACTGGAGTGTGTATGTGCACTCTCATTCCAGGGTCATTCCAAGAACACTCCAGGTTTGGGTCCTTGCCCTGCAATCAATCTGTCCTGCCACCTTGTTGATCTTGTGACCCACCTGTGGACCCTGCTCTCAAATCTGAGAACTCCACCTTCCTAGATAGAGATATTTTCCTATCTACCTCCCCCTCCCTTTCTCTTTCTCTCTCTTCTTTTGCATGGCTTTGGGGTTGGAACTTTTGAGTATAAACAATGCTCCATCCTGAGCTGTTCTCTTAGCTTCCTAGGAAGGTCTCTCACTGACACAGGGCTGAGGGATGGTCAATTTGGGGTCATCTGTGGAGCTCTCATGAGACCCTTCTTAACTGCCACTGTGGCTGGACCCCATTGCACTTTTGGTCAGTTTCTGACCGTCCTCTGTATCAAAAAAAAAGCCAATTGGAGACCATAGGTTCTCTGAGATATGCCCATCCCCAGAGACTCAGAAGGCCTTCCCCCACCCGGCCCCCAGCAGCTGTTGAGTGGGCAGATAGCCTGCTCCTTATGCTCAGAGTCTCCACCTTAATGGTCATGTGTCAGGGATACTTATTGCCTGTGGGAACTGGACTTTCCTGGAAGTGTAACACATTAGCTTGTTACAACCCCAAGAACCATGTTACAGCCTCAAGAGCTGCAGGAGGTAGGAGTTTTTGTTCTTTTTGTAAAGATGGCAGATGAACAGGTGGAATGCTTACTGAGTGCCAGGCATGGCCACACCTTTCAGCAACTTGGGTGCAGACTTTGAGTTCTGTTGGCTCCTAAGCACTGATAGCACCATTGTGCAGTGCAGACTGGGAAACTGAGACTTAGGGTGCCTCTCAAGTTCTCACAACTATAAGCCCACTTACCCCACTCTGGTGCCTACTTGATGGCACTGCCCTCCCAATAGGTGGGGAGTCCCTTTCATCCCCAGCTACTTCCCTTTTCCAAGGTCTTCCTGCTGCTGGTTAATGAGCAGCCAAGGATAGTGGAAGCCAGGGAGGCCACTGCTTGCTCTGAGGCTGGAATGTGAGTTCTGTTTCTAGATAAAGAGTCTTGTGCAAGTAGCTGGCCTCATGGGGCCTGGCAACCTCATAGGCAGAGCATAGATGGTGACCATGCTGTTCCTCCTCAGCGCTAATTCCAGATGCAGACCAGGCTACCTGGGCGAGCACTTTGGCTCTCAGACTGCCCTACACCACTCTTGTGTAGCCCTCCTGGCTTGCTGTTTTTGAAAAGGCTCATGACCTCTCCTCCACCCTCCACGTGGTGGTCAATGGGGTTTGCAGGGAGCATATTAGACAGGGATGATATACAGTCTGAGTTCTGGGTATGGCCCACCCCCACACATTACATGGGCCTCTGGTCTTTGAGTTTCCATCTGAGAAGGGCGAGATATATCCTTTTAGCCTTACAGTGGAGAGCATAGGAATAAGAGGTCAGGCAGGTCTAGGTTCATTCCAAGTCTGAGGGCTGGGATGTGGCTCGGTGGCCCTTTGTAATGCCTGGAGTGCCTTCTCTACAAAACAAACAAAACAGCTCTTAGCCCAGCCCCAGCCTGTGCCTGTGGTGTGACCCTGAAGGGAGTCACTAAACCTCTCTGAGCCTCAGACTCTCCCCTCTATAATGGAGTAGTTATGTCAAACCAAGAGAGCTGCCGTCCACTGCAGGATGGGGGTTGGCAGAAGAGGTGACATGGACACTTGGTGAGCCCAGGGGAATTTTATGGACTCAGAACGACTAACAGGATAAGTGCCATACACACTAAAAGACACTCCTCATGGGAATCCCTAGAGAAGCTGCATACCCACGATTGAAGAGGCAAGTCTACCTCCCGGAGTGCTGTTCTCTGGGGTGTTGATATCTGGGGTGCTTGTCCTCTGGGATGCTAGGTACTCTAAGGGAGAGACTGTGAGCAGGGCATGCCTCCTGCTTGTCTGTGGGTGCTAGTGTCCTGCTCCCTGGAGGCCTCCACATGTTCACTCTGACTATAAAAGTCATGTTTTCAACACAGAAATACCGAAAGGGGGAAAGTAACGCTTTTTCCCACCACACAGAGGTGACCACAGTATAATGCAGTGGTGTGTGGATTCACACATATGTCCATAAGCTGATCCTGGTGAAACATGTGTGTCATCCTCCCACAGGGAGGCTGAGGCACGAACATCTCTCTAACCCAGGCTTTATTTGGCTTAGGAATTTAAGGCCAGTTGGGGCTTCAGAATAAGAGCCTGAGTTGTTTGTTTGTTTAGTTTAGTTTTGTTTTGTTTTAAATAGAAGATCTGAAGCCAGGCCATGGTGACAGAGGCAGAGGCAGGCAGATCTCTGAGTTTGAGGCCAGCCTATAGAGTTTCAGAACAGTCAGGGCTACACAGAGAAACCCTGACTGGAAAAATCAAAACCAAACTAAAACCAACACCAAGCCAAACCAAAAGATAAAAAGATCTGGAATCCTGCTGTGTCGTCTGGGCTGGTTTGAAACTCACTTATCTAGACATTCCTGAGGAGCTGGGACCACAGGTATCTGGCCTACGGTTTTCCTCTTGAATGGAGACAGGTGGAGGCTGGAAAAATATTTTAAAAGAATACAGGAGGCAGCCCTGGCAAGCCCCGGAGGTATGTTTCCATTTTCCTGCCTTTTTTCTTGGCTAGACCCTGAGTGCTTTTTGGGCTTCCTCAGTCTTTCTCTAAAGCCTCCTCCCTGCCACGTGGCTGCTTGCAAGTGCTGGACTTCCACTCCAGCTTATCTCAAACAGCCTGCCCTCACCTCCTCACCCCTGCCACCGGCCCCCAGCGCCCCAGTCTCTATTCCCAACCAGGGAATATGGCCCAGCAGTCAGTCACTCAGATTTACAGTCCGCCTGCATTGGGAATCTTCTTTAATCTCTGACAAAACTGTCACTTTTGAACTTAAACAAAAAAACAACAAACAAACAAAAGTGATCCAGGAGTGGAGACACGTGTCTGTGATCCCAGACCCTGGAGCCTGAGGCAGGAGGATAGCTAAAAATTGGAAGCCAGTCTGGGATATATAGAGAGTTCCAGGACACTTGAGGAAAGCATTTATTTAATCCCCAAGTGAGAAATTGTTTTTAGTTACGCTCGCCAATAAAACACTCTACAGTGAACAGTGGCCTGCTTCTATTTTTTTATTGCAATAAACTATACATAATGTGTAATTGCTTGTCACTCTTGGGAGGAGGGCTGGGTGTTGGGGATGGAACTCGAGCCGTCAGCAGGCTAGGAGAGTGTTCCACTCTGAGACTCACCTGAGCCCCATTGTAGACACTCTGCTTTCAGGGCTCAGTGGGGGTGACAGTGAACCCCTCCTACAGGACCCAGCTCCAAGCTTTTCTGTCTGACTCCCTGACCATACCTGCACATGGCCATACCTTACACCTTGATGCGATGCACAAGTTCTCTCCTTCCCCACATGGACCCAGGGCACATGCTCACCTCGAATTCATCCACTTAGATGCACTTCTCTTCTGGGCTATCCATTTTAAAGCTGTGCAGACTCCCAACGTGGAATCGCAGGTTCTCCAGAGACCATACTCTTTGATGCTCCTACTGACATCAGTGACAGCTTTGGGCTACTCGGAGGAAGTGGCAGCCCTGCTCCAGGGACACTTCTGCCTTTGGGGACTCAGAGAAAAAAAATTAAAACATCCCACCCTAGACCTGTTCCTACCCAGCTCTTCTCATTGGGAGAAGACTAGAAAATCCCAGAAAATCAAAACCAAAAACTCATCAACACTGGGAAGTTAAAACCTAACTCTACCCTTTAATGACCCCAAATCCATTCCTACCATGGATGGCCTTTGTCAAAATGGGCATGAAGTCATGCATTGCAGCCTTCTGAGAGGGTCAGGAAAGAAAAACCAAAAGTTTTTGGTACAGTGACGGGCATATAGTAATTGCTCAACAAACAGTAGCTGTCATTGCTACACCTTCCTGCTGCTGGTATGATTGGGCTCTGCTGTTTGGGGAAGTCAGGACACACAGGCAGAGCTCTAGTTTTCACAATGCTTTC